TAAACATGTAACTTACAGCAAAGTATGTTACATAGCTACCATTTTGTTTCATTTACATCTAAAATGTTTTTCCTAAACATCAGTATACGGAAGGATGCGAATATCTCAGATTGCCTTTGGCGCAAAACAACCTTGCGCCGGCTCTGCCTCTAGGTCATGAATTACCAGCTCAGCGTCATTCCGACCTGTCAGCAACATATACTGGCTTGTCGTGACCTTTGCGTTATGTTGCATCTACGTGAAGGATTTTTGAGACTTACCACGTTGCGAGCTTTCAGCAATGTAGTATTCACACCAATGATCGCTCACCCATTTCGCAAGTATTTCATTCGCTGAGATTAACTCAGAGCCAGCATTGCCGGTCTCTGCAGCGACTGACCAGGAAGGAGCTAACGGTGGCAGATTTTCGAGAACAGATATTCATCCTGGTTATGTCGAATTCAGCTGGTGTCTGGAGGAAAATTCCAACGGCCGGCGGCTCTGATCAGTAGTTTTCCATGGCTTCTCCAATTAATACCAGTCGGATTCCGGATTGAGATCCTAACAAATGGGCTATGGTCTACACGTGATCTTTCCTTCCTCTTCCTTGTCCTATCCTCTCCCCCTTATACATACACTTACACGCCCAACACCACCACACATGACGGGCGAGCTGGGAGTTCGTCTCCCGTCACGTCTGTTTTATTTCGATCTTAATGAAATTTTGGGCACCTGGAGAAAAACATGAGAAAAATTACATCTGTACGAGAATTTCCAAAACTATTCCCCATCCCGATTTTCTGTCCCTTAAAAAAATTCAAATGCCCCCTCATTCAGCATTTTACAATCATCTCGAAATCAGTAAATCCACATAAGTGAATTTACGATTCTGAAAGTCCACAAATTTTCTTCTAAATGCAATTTAATTTTTTCCAATAGAGCAATTATAATTTGAGTAATTTAAGGTCAAAATTGATACTAGAAGATTGTCAGTAGTATGCAGTAATGCATAATTCTACATTGCTGCTCTAAGCCATAGCAACAATGGTGGTAAAACATTGGTCTTAGCAAAAATGGCAGTGAAGGGAGGGGCGAGGCGAGCAGGACAATTCCAGTGAGGCAGACAAGGTAGAGTGGGGAAAGATGATGAGAGAGAGGGTGGAGCTGAGCGGTTAGGACGGGACAGAGACGGGACAGCGAAGGGCAAGTAACAGTTATTTTGGGCGTGGTAGATCTTTTTAGTTATGCACCATACACAAAATTCATTCATTTTCCTAATAGATGACTTTGATTAATAAATACTCCTGCAATGGAGGGTACTTCAGCTACTTAAAAATACATGTAGTTCAAAAATTTCGGAGGGAAGTTACCGAAAACCAATTCCTTGTATACGAGTATGCCAGTGAATGTATATACCTCGTAGAAAGTTCTGGAGAATTCGAAGAATGGACATTGCTGCCAACGCGAGATTGTACAATAAAAATTAATAGGGACACGAAACACATTGCCAGTGAAAAATAATTTGATACAATATTAAGATTTTATAAACTTAGTGTGACGTAGTGAAATAAGAAATAAATTTCAATAACAAAATAAAAATAATATATTC